AGGTAAAAATCTTAAATATTTGTCTATGTATCTCAAAAGGTTGATATGAAGATTAATACTGCAAGTATATGTATACATATGCTACATATTACACGTATGCTACATATACAGATGTATGTATGTGTATATATGCGGCATATATGCTACATATACGTAGCATATCTGTGTATATATGTAGCAAATGTGTACATATGTAGCGTGTATATAATATATCATATGTATGCTATATATATATTTTAACTGTTCTAATTTTAGTTCTCTGAAGTTAGTATTTGCTTTTATGGTCCTTCAGTATTTGCTGGAATTCTACATTAATGGACCCCTAGTACTTAGCCTTTTGAATCAAACTTGCTTTATCCAAAAACCCATAGCATGACATATTTGGAATTTGTCTTTTTTTCTCTCTTAGATCTTAAAATAAAAAGACATTGGAATTTTTCTTTTTTTCTCTCTTAGACCTTAAAATAAAAAGATATTAAATGTTCTAAGAGAAGATCTGCCGTCAAGTTCTAATTTCACTGAAGCGGGGACATTCATGGGTAAAATAACCACAACTTTTTCATTAACCCTACTGAATCCTCACTCTTCACATGTGGGTTGATATAGTTTGGCTCTGTGTCCCCACCCACATCTCATCTTGAATTGCAATCCCCAGGTGTCAAGGGAAGGACCTGGTGGGAGGTGATTGGATCATGGGGGCGATTTCCCCCATGCTGTTCTCATAATAGCAAGTGAGTTCTCATGAGACCTGATTGTTTTATAAGTGTTTGGCAGTTCCTCCTTCACATGCTCTCTCTCCTGACACCATGTAAGATGTGCCTGCTTTCCCTTCTGCCATGATTCTAAATTTCCTGTGGCCTCCCCAGACATGTGGAACTGTTGAGTCAATTAGACATCTTTCCTGTATAAATTTACCCAGTCTTGGGCAGTTCTTTATAGCAGTGTAAAGAAAGACTAATACATGGGTGATTCTCCAGGCCCCTGGTGTCTTGTTCTTTCCCCACCTACCACCAAAGGTCTCAGCCAAGCAGCAGCAATCAGTCACTCCTAACTTCTAGTGGATTGAAGACATTGCATTATCTTACCTGGCAGGTGTGGGGAGGACAATAGTTTTTTAAAATCGAGTGCATACTGTGGAATGAAAGCCATTACTGGGATTTTCATTAGGCATTGAAATACCTGTTGAAAACTTTGAGTGAGAAAAGGTAGAAGTTACATGTGAGAATGGGGTGTTGCAAAGAACCTTCTTGAGCCCCCAAACTGAAATGGACTTGTTTGGATATAAATCAGACTGGTGTAAAATTTGAAATAAATTAAGAGTCTCTGAAAAAAAGTAAGAACAAGAGGCATCAACACACCCTAGTTCTATTGTTACTCATTTAGGTCTCACCTAAACATTAATGGTGATACTATGTCTTTACTTTGCATTATGGAAAATGATCAGTTTCAAATAACTTAGCAGTGATAATAACAAAAATATAATCACATAACCAATAGCTTCTGGCTTTCCACTTGCAATATTAATCTTCACATCAGCCTTTTGAGATACATAAATATTTAAGATTCTTACCTTTCACATTGCATGTTGATGTGTAGAAACACAGTGTAGCATACCATAAAGAACAGAGCTGAGACAGAAGCCCCCATTCTTCAGATTCAGAATTCAGTACTCTCTCTATCAGGCTGACTCTATTTAAGCTAATTATGTAGAATCAAATTGTATTTGAGGGAGGAATACAAAATCTTCCTAACCCAAGAAACTTGCAATATCCAAGAAGTAGCATTGATAAGAAGAAAAATGGAATTATGATCTACCTATGACCTTACAACTTCTTTTCCCACTAAATTCACTCAAGGCCACCCTGGCTGGCATGGCCATGTGGGCCTCTCTTCAGCCATACACACCTTCCTACCGTCACTCCTCAAATTGACAAAGAAGGCAAAATGGGTAAGAACAATTTACTGATCTCTTATAACCATGATCATAATTCTGGAGAGTGACTGGAGGATTTAAATACATTTGTTCTAATTTTAGATATGGTAGGTTCATCAAATACAGTTTTATTTGTATAAGTTCCTGATTCTCTCTCAAGACTCTATCATAACATGCAGACATATCCACATATGGGAAAGCTGCATTAACCAGTCAGTGCCAATGGAGGTGGGCCTTGATTTTTTCCGGTAATGTCTTGTTTGGCTTCTTGGGAATTATTACTGCCATTATGATTAGATTACCACCCCAGTAGCAATGACATTATTCTACTCTCATAGAGTTTAATCCTGTTATATTTTTAATGTGCTCTCTACTTTTGGCCAGACCAATAGATTGCAGACAATGGAAAACATGATATTTTTATTTAAATAACATGAAATACAGAATATAAAAAAAATTGAGTTAACATCAGTCCAGGTTAGGTAAAATCAGATGAAGCAAAATAGTTATCCTTCCCTCCAATATTAAATTTATATCCTCAGTGCAGGTAGGTTGTTTCTCCCACTTGTCTGAGTCTGAGCTCTCAGTGTTCCTATTTTCACACATGAAGTTCTTCTTAAACACTTTTACCACTTGGTACCTGTCTACCCAACCAGAACAGATGACCATCAATGCTTATTAGTGAGTGTAATGGCTTATTAGATACTGCAATATAGTTTTATGTCCAGTAGACTATTTAGATAGTTAAAAGCACACTTCTCATCCTGATAAAATTTCAGTAGTTTTTCTGATTCTTCCAAAGCTCTAATTCTCTAACATTTGTGACCATGCTCTGAACATATAGATTTGTCTCTTTTGAGTCCTTGTGGTGTTGCCATCCTGAGAAATCATTTTATCATATTTAATATGATAAATATGATATATTTAAATATAACTTTTACAAGGAAAGTGGTATTTCTGTGTTATGGAAATGATGAAGTAAGTTGCATTTTTACGCACGTGGATGCCACTTTAGAAACTAGGAACAAACTAAAGGCATAAGGCCAATATCTTAGACTATTCTCCTTTTACAAGACAAATGTAAAAGTCTAAATTTATTTCACCTCAAGAAAGTTTAAAACACAGGTATGCATTCAAATGGGTATCCACATGAACCTGAAATGAAAACGTGTGGCATTTCCCCTGAGTGGGCATTGACTTTGGAGGAGCACTGGGCAGCTGGCATAGCAAGGGATGTCCCCGGGCAAAGGGCTAGAAAATGCAATTGTTTGACTAAAGATGCAGTAGGAGACATGTTTGCCAAAAGGAAAGTTCAGAAGCTCTGTTTGAACATGAGTGTGAGGAAGTGAAAATACTTTAGATAAAATTTCTGTTATTGTCGTTAACAATGGGCTGGCTGATTCCATGCTGGCAGATGGTGCCAGGGTTTCCTCTTGGAGAATTACATTGGGACAGCTGTGATCCATTCATAAAGCTCTGTCGTTGCTGAAAAAATGACAGCAAATATGAGAGCATGAACTATGAGTTTCCCTTAGATTAGAAGACTGAGTAAACTTGGGGTGTCAAAATTACTTTGTCGGAATTTAGTTATGTATTGCTGTATAACAAGTTACCCTCAAATTAGCAGCTAAGAACAAAGTTTATTATCTCACAGGATCAGGAATCCAGGTGCAGCTTAGCAGGGTGCCTCTGGCATGGAGTCCATAAGAAGCTGCAGTCAAGGTGCTCTCTGGGGATGCAGTCATCGGAAGGCTCGACTGGGGGATGATCTGCTTCCAAGATCACTCACATGGCTGTTGGCAGGTTGGGGGGACTTGTTAGCTGTTGCCTGAGTTATCAGCTCCTTGATACGTTGGCCTCTCAATAAGCCACTCACAAAATGACAGTTTGCTTTTCCCAGAACAGGTATTCCAAGACCCTCCCTCTGGCCCTCTGACACACACACACACACACACACACACACACACACACACACACAGAGAGAGAGAGAGAGGAACAGAGATAGAGACAGAAATACATTAAGAGACAGAGACACTGAGATAGGGAGGGAGAACTTAGGACTTGATGTGGCAGAAGCCACATTCTTTTTGCAAATTAATCTCCGACGTAAAATTCATCACTCGTACTGTACTCCCTTTATTAGAAGTGAGTAAAGAAGTCCAGCCTACACTCAAGGAGAGGGGATTACACATGGGCATGGATACCAGGAGGTGTGGGAGATCATTCATGGCTATCACAGAGGTGGCCTATCACAGTTGGTGACCATATTTTCCATTTTAAATGAATGCCAAATTTATTTTCCTTCATTCAATACTAGGAAGGTTATTTATATGAGATAAAATGCTTATTTTGAAGAGGAAGTCTGGTTTACTATATAGACTGCAGTCATCACTAGATGTGCCATCTTGATTAGTGATAGTGAGCTGGCTTGTTTGGAGGCAATGGGAGGCTGTTATTAGGCAGGGAGATGTGTGAGCAGGGCTCTTAGGACTTTGGACAGAAATCTACCACTTTCTTTATCTGTAGAATAGGCTTGACCACGAGAAATTTCCCTGGTAATCTTTGGCTAAATAATGAAAACACACACTTTAAAAGTGTCAGGATAGGGTAGAGTCACCCCTAGAAATAGCTAGTATTACTTATATCACACATATGCTACATGTCTTTTGCATTATAGTGAGAAATTTACTATGTGTGTGGGTGATATAAATTGACGCTCAAATCTCTACAAACAAATCTCTAGTTTCATGAGTCATTTTATAATGACCCATTGATTAACAGGGGCATAGTATGGGAAAATGACAAGCATTTCCATCAGGTCAATAAAAATTTGGATGAAAGAACATCATAGAATGTTAGATAAGGATATTTGTGATTAATTACCTCAACTCTCTCATTTTATGAATGAGGAGACCTGCCAAAGCTGAGAAATAGCTAGAACAACTAATTTACTGCTTAACCTATTACACGTTGCTGCTTTCACCAGCATTATAGAAATTAGGAACAAAGAAGAAGAAAAAAACTGCTTTACTTTCTGTGTCATCATATGAAAACTTGGCAAAGGTTGGGAAATCTTTTGCAAATAATACTTTTAACTGCTAGCTTTTATATCTATCTATATTTCCAGGAACTATGTATTTTATTTCTATCTGTATTTCCAGGCGCTGGCTTAAAACATGAAAGGTATTCAGTAAATGGATACTTATATAATGACAGGATCTAACCACTGGTGAGTTGCACACTCTGTTACTGTGTCCCAGTCTGGAAACCCATTACAGAAACTTGATTGGCTTCCACAGTCACTATTGTAAGGTCTTGTTGGTGGGATAGCAGTTCTGGGGTGGTTAGGATATAAAAGTTGGAGGCAATATTCAAGGACAGCATGGAGAAACTGAACAGGAAGCAATGAGGCCTGAATTCTCAACACAGCTCTATTCTAGAGGTCTAGTTTGGGAATAAGAAAACTCAGGTTTCATTCTGTACCTTTCATGAGTTCTTTAACCTTGTGCAGATTACAAACTTTTTACTTGTAAAGTTGGATGATTAGATTAAATCAATGACTCTCAATAATAATAGCATACCATTTGGGAGGGAGATATGCATATCAGAATTTCTGAGATGAGGTATAAAAAAAAAACATGTAGATAGAAAAAAATTTCTGAATGTTAGTGGTCAGAACAACTTACTTTTCGGACAAGGGTAGGGCATCCTGGCAGAGTTTTAAGATAGAAAATGGGCTGTCATGGATATTTATTAAAGGCTCAACTAAAAATACGTTGAGACACTTTGGTTGGATGATTGTCATTTCTTCCAGTCCTCAACTACAGAGAGTCAGTGAGTGCTGAGGACAAGGGTCATTTGAGGAAACAATTTTAGAACAGGGGAAGTACTGAGGGAGGAATGAACTGGCCCCCAGCTAAGAGTGACATGAAATGGTGCCAAGACTGGACACTGCCAGCAGAAGCAATTTCTTTAAACAAAGAACACTGAGCCTGGATGCTCCTATCCACCTCCGTTCAAAGAAAATCAAGATCCCAACTCTAGCTACCTTCTGTGACAGGTCTACTCTCATCTACCAGTGAATTTCCAGGACTAAAAATCACTTGTTAGGTTCCAAAGTTTATAGCCCAAAGAAACTTATTCTTAGGAAAATGGTCCAAGAATGTGTTGATCTTCAATGTAAAGCCAAATTAAATTGTTATTGGCTTCAATTTTGAATGGCAAAAAACTCACTGCAGTTATTAAACCTATAATTTCAATTAATTACATTAGCACACCCATGCTTTTTGAAGGTGGGGACAATGAAGAACATTCTTAAACTGACTTTTGTTTTATTTTTATTGCTGTCACTGTATTATAGATCTAGTAACATTTTACAAAAATCTAAAATATTATTTATGTGTTAGTTTACTTATATAGTCAGTTATTCTATATTAAAATCTAAATTCTGGTAAATCTCTGAAACATATTGGAACTTTGGCTTAAGAAGAGAAGACAACTTGAAACAATTGTCCAGCCATAAATTATGGGAGATATAATTTATGACCAGAGGGTGAGTTTGAAGCAATTTCCTCTTCTACCTTTAGTTGCTCTAAGAGAAGTAAGGAAAAGAGATAGTCTGATGAAATGTTTATCATGGAAAGGGAGGAAACAGACTGTAGAAGGCAAACTTAGACTTGAAATAAGGAGTCCTGGATTCTAAGGCAATGCTTCCAAAATTCTTGGCCAAGTCACAGACTCAACACTGATCACATCCTTCAGATTCTCTGAGTGTTCATTAGATCATTCCCTATAACTTTCTCAAGTGTTGCAATATTTTTAAAAATTAAAAATTAAAGCAAAGACATGCATTTAATTTAATTCAATTCATTCAATTAAATATACATCGTAGGAAGTTTTCATATCTTTGTACAATATTAGAAAACTTCAATGTTTTTAAACATGAGTTTACAAATATGAACTTATTATGATACATTCAATCATTCTCTCATTTCTAATTTTTCACAATGATTAATCACACTCCAATGACTATCTTTGCACTGAAATTTCTGAGGCTACCAACAGAGAGGAAAAAGAAGTGGGCCAAAGGTGGGAGGTATGACGTAAATATCTGTGTACATATCTTAACTTTTTTTTTTTCCCACAAATTTGTCATTCAAAGCTAGAGTTTCACCTGGCTGGGTGCAGAGAACAATTATGTCAATTACTGCAGGAACAGTTAGTTATATAGGAACAATTTGACCATATTTAGGTAATAGCATTAGGAAGGCTTTCCCTGAATAAAGCCAGGCTCCTGGGCTGGGCTAGGCTCAAAAAACAAATTCCTCTGGCAAGAAAAGGACATTGTGGAAAAGGAGAAAAGATCCAGAAAGCTCCTGTACTAAGAGCCTTGCACCACTGGAGAGCTTATAACAAACCCTTGGTAAAGGAATTAGAAAAGAATGTAAAAGAATTAGGAGCAACACAGCCAGGTTAGAGTAACTGAAAAGACTCTAAATAAAATTACTACATCTTCAGTTGCACTAAGGAACACGGTAAAATCATCTCTCTGCCTCCATCTCCCACCGCTACTTGCCCTGAACTTATGCTCTGCTTTTTAAAAACCCACTTATAATTACCCCCTCTCCAGTCTCATGCCATGACATTCTCATGTTACCTGGTCTGAATTTTTCTCTTTGTTCTTCCTGAATCAATCCCACATACCTTTAAGAATCAACTGAAGCCCTGCCTGACCTCCTAGCCTAAGATAAGGTGCTTTCTTCTGGTCTCTCAAAACACCCTGTGTCTGCTTCCGTTAGTTCACCTACCACATGATAGTAAAATTTGGTGCCTACATTTCTTTCCCTTCAAATTAAACCTCTTGAGGAAGGATTTAGCCAATTCATTATTATAATTCCAAAATCTACAGTAATATATAGACTAGTATGGAGACTCATTTGTTAAATGGAAGAACGTCTTTGACAGTTAAGCTGGGCTCAAGAGGAATAAATAAAATAATTGCGTGATAACCCAGTCAACTCCAGTTATTCAACTAAATAAAGTACCCTAACGGTAGATGAGGAAGGACTGTCACATCAAGTATATTTTATGGTTACATTTGCTTCTGTTTTTTATGTCCCACAGAACAAGTTCACTTGTTTAGTTAAATTGACACTGCATTAGTTGAATGTCAAAAGTAATGTGTAGCTAATGGGCCAGCTCAGGACTTTGTAGAGTACAATTCAGTGCCCAAATGAGGCTTCCTGTTGTGGCTGAAGCACATGTCTTATATGGAAAGATCACTCCTTAAAAGAAACATTTTTTTAAATCCACTGAGACAGAAATCAAGATGTTCTATCCCATTTTTCCCCGTATCATTGACTATTTTTAACTTTCAGTGATCCCTCAACTGCTTTCTCATCTGAAAAATGAGTTGATATTTACCATAATAAATAAGTGAAATAAAGAGAGATAAGTAGGTGTCCAGAGAGATAAGATAAATGAATAGGTTACTACCGCTATTTTTCCTGTATAAAAAATTTTGGCAGAACTTGAGGGTCAATGGTCAGAGTCTTGTGAAAATTACTGAAAATTCCTGCACGGTTATAATTAGTTCAGTAACATGACAAAATGGGTGTTTTCTAAATATCATTTTCTCTTATTTCAGCTGAATTAATTGTTTTATGGAGATAAGAAAAATACCTTTGGCCATGGTGGCAGTATTTCTTTACTGGATGGAAATTTTATTCTTTAAAATTTGAACCATAAGATACTTTAACTTAGAAAACTTGAGCCCCAAATTACTTAGGGACCTCCCTTTACCACGTCATGTTTTAATTATTATTAATAAGATCTTGATTGTTGTAGATTTGTGAATATTTAAGTATAAGATGTATCAAGTAAACAAGATGGAAATCTCTAGAAAAGTCTAAATATGCAACAACTATTACTCTTTCATTGACAGATTTTACCAATAAAAATAAGACACTTAAATGCATGAACATGATCTAAATGCCATATCATTATAAATTACTTCCTGTGTTCTCAGGCCTAAAGATTATTCAAGATCCTGCTAAGAAATTAAAGCCACATGACATTCTGAAATAAAAGTGTGCAGATGCTTGAGGTATGTCCACTAAAGCATGCAAAAATAGTACTAAAGTTAACAAAATTTTATTTAAATTCTCTCCCTGCATACATCTGATATATCACTTCTGTCCATTTTTGGGGAGAGAAACACACCGTTTATGTGTTATTGCACTATGCCGATTTGGGGTGCTTCCACACAAAACTTAACTTCTTTAATCCTGGAGAAGAAGTATTCCTACTTTGTTTTGTGGAACTTTTTGATGATAGCTACCATATCAAAACTCCAAAGGCAGAGATGTTAAATCCTAATGACATTTTTGTTTTTAGCCTATCACCTTCAGGTCATGACTGTCCAAAGATGTCCCCACTTGGCTACACCCCCTAAGTTTGTTCTGTGGCCTACCAGCTTGGGGTCTTACGTTCTACTCTGAGGTTGAAATGCTCTTCCCTCCAGAATGTACACTTTCCACAGTCTCTATTCAGTCATCCATCTGGCATGACCCTGTGAAACTCCAGAAAAGTATGTCTTGGTTTTTCATGCTGCAGTTTTGTGAAAATACAGTCCTGGCTTTCCCCAGTCCTCCTCTGGGAGTCTTGGGTCTGCTATTTTCTGATGTCTGTCACAGTGTTTTATAAAGTCTGAAAGATCATCATTCTGTCTTTTGCCTTGATTCAAGAAAGTCCTTTTGTTTAATATGACAAGACACAATGTGACATATAGCCCTTGGATACTTAAAATAATAGATCCGGCCGGGCACGGTGGTTCACGCCTGTAATCTCAGCACTTTGGGAGGCCTAGGAGGGCATATCACCAGGTCAGGAGATGGAGACCATCCTGGCTAAACACGGCGAAACCCTGTCTCTACTAAAAATACAAAAAATTAGCCAGGCATGGTGGCAGGTGCCTGTAGTCCCAGCTACTTGGGAGGCTGAGGCAGGAGAATGGCGTGAACCCGGGAGGTGGAGCTTGCAGTGAGCGGAGATCGCGCCACTGCACTCCAGCCTGGGCAACAGAGTGAAACTCCGTCTAAGAAAAAAGAAAAGAAAAGAAAAGAAAGAGATCCAGTTCTTCCAACTCTTTCTCAATAGATTGCGTCTATAAAATGGACGCAATGTGTTAAACTCAAAGTTACAAATAATCTATATGGATGGAGGAAATCACAGTTAAGTTGGTAACAATATACTAAGCTGTTTTTGCCTCTTAAATAGAGTTAGTCTACGTTGAACCCTTCTCAACCAGCAGGGTTTTACACCTAGTATTTTCAGAGAGCAAATTCAAAGAGGCTGTTGATGGGAATGGTGAGCCATATGCTCTGACTTCCTTTTGATAATGAACACTACTAAAAACTGCTATAAACTGTGGATGGTGATAACTATGTGGTTGCATAAATAGCCACAATTCTCCTCCATGCCCTAAACTCACATGCTTTGAAATATGACTTTGCAGCTCCTACCATCGAAACATGGAGATGAATTTCCCACACCTTCAATGTAGCTTGGTCTTATAATTTGCTATGACAAGTACATTGTGATGGAAATGAGGTTGTGCTGGTTCCAAGCCTGGGTCTCAAGGGTCTTTCATGTTCCCACTTACTATCTTGAAACTCTGGCCAGCTGCCATGTGAGCAAACTCAGATTAGCCTATGGAGGAGGAGTGACCACTTGGAGAAGATACAAGCCATTTCAGCTGTGGCCATCCTAAATCAGTCAATCCCAGCCTCCTGGGCAAATGGTGGCAGAAATATGAGTGAGGCCAGGCAGGACAGAGGCGCCTGGCTGAGCCTAGTCCAAATTGCCAACCCATGTTATTATGAACTACAGAAACAGTTATCGTCTCAAGCTTCTGTAGTATTCCTATCAAAATAATATAACCTGCATCTAATTGTGAAGAAACACACAGGAATATGCTTGTATAGATTAATCTTCATATACTTTTCAAATATTAATGACATGCACAACAAAGATAGCTGAGGAACTGTTCACATTAAAGAATACTAAACAGCATTAAAAACCAAATAAAATGCATACAATTGAATTGTATCCTAGACTGAAAAAAATAGCTACAAAAGACATTATTTTGAAAATGAACAGAATTTGACTTGGATTGTATTGTATATTAGATAATAGCAGATACTCTGACTTACATTAAAATCACATCCTGATAAACTCATTGCAAGTCAAAAACATTACAAGTTATAATGTATTTAATACCCCTATAAACCCATCATAAAAATACATAAATTGAACCATCACAATCCAGATGCTCCTTGACTTTAATGGGAATATATCCTGATAAACTAATCTTAAAGTTGAAAAACTGTAAGTCAGAAACTGTCTGTATAGTAGCATCTGCTTATCCACGATTTATCTTTTTGTGGTTTCCATTACCTAGAGTACAGTACAATAAGATACTTTGAGAGGGAGAGAGAGACTGTATTCATATCCCTTTTTTATAGTATATTGTCATAATCGTTCTATTTTATAACAGTTAATCTCTTCCTGTGCCTAATTTGTAAATTAAACTTTATCATAGATGTGGATAGAAAAAAAAGTATATATAGATGTTTCTCCTCTTATAATAGGATTACATCTTTATAAACCCATTGTAAGTTGAATATATTGTAAATCAAAAATCCATTTAATACCCCTAACCTACCAAACATCATAGCTTAGCCTAGCCCACCCTGAACATGCCCAAAACACTTACATTAGCCTACAGTTGAGCAAAATCATCTAACATGAAGCCCATTTTATAATAAAGTATAGAATATCCCATTACTTTAATACTGTACTGAAATTGAAAAATATAATGGGTTCATACCATCCTAAAGGCAAAAATAATCTTAAGTTGAACCATAGTAAGTTGGAGACAGTCTATATAGGGTTCAGTACTATCTGTGTTTTCAGTCTTGGAATGCATCTCTTGAGAATAAGGGGGCACTATTGTATTCCATCAAAATGAAATTTCCCCATTTAATTTTGTTTTGTAGTTATATAAGAAAATTTTCATATTCTTGGAAGATATACAGTGAAGTAATTAGAAATTAAGAATTATGATATCTGAACATACTCTCGAAAGTTTCATCAGTATTAATAATTTCAAATATAAATGCATAAATATATTTATATGTAGATACATGCACACAGATATAGAGACGTAGATGTATTTAGAGATAGAAAACAGCAGAATGTCAATGACTGAGGAATATGGATGACAGGTATCGTAAAGTTTATTGTAATATTTTTTGCAACTTTTTGCTACATTTGTTTTCAAAATGAAAAGCTAAAAAAGGTATAAATACCTGTATAAAAATGGAAGAAAAGATAGTGTTTGCTATGATTTTACTTATAACTTTATAACTTGGGGAACATGAAGAGAGTGAGGGAAGAGGCGAGGTTTGTTTCCATAGTGAGCTTGAAGAGAACGTGCAGGTTTCTTTCTGTTTCTTTGTGCAGTGCCCATGAACAGACTGTGGGGCGCTCTGTGATCCCTTGGGATCAAATAATGAAGGTTTCCTATACTCACTGACACTTGTCCTCTCTCCCCAGTGAATCAGCCAATTCCTCATGTCTTCACGGCTCCATCTACTATCATGCAACCATAGTGCCACAATTCACATTTCCCAAGGACTTTACAGGTATTTAATAGATAATCCTCATTCCACTTTAGGAAGGTAGGAAAGTTTAGATGGACCATTTTACAGAAAGACAAAGATAGGGAACAAAGATTCAAGGAACCTTTAGTCATGGTGTAAGTCTGTATTAAAACTGAAAATACTCCTCCTTGGAGCTTCTAGTGAGGATTAATACAGTAATTCACTTTCAAATATTATACTATAGTGATCTTCAGAATCACAGGCATCATGTGTTATTCTTTGCAATTATTCTTTTGCTGCTTCTCATATCCCCTGAGAATGTTTCAGTCATTAAGCTCCTTTTAGCTGTGGAGATTTACTGCCTTTGTTGTGTGTGACTGACTCACTAAACAATAACACGGGATAAAGATTTTTGCTTTTATTTTCTTTTGTTACCTTATAGAGTACATTGGGGTGTGACTCTAGTGCTAATGAAATGCTCAAAAAAACTTTAAATCTCAGCATTTTCAATATGAATACTAAGTCCCAAGTGACTAGAGTGGGACCAGTTATGACTGCAAATTGGAAAAGTTTTAGAGTTTATGTTTCCTTCTTCGATTATTTTACAAAGAATCACATTTAAACAATTTTAAAATTGTGCTAGACTGTTCTTCAGAGACTATTTCTGTCTCAAAAATGGGTGAGATTGAAGGCTTATATTGAATTTCATGGATTTCACCTTGGCATATTCCTAAAGAGTGAATAACCGAAAGATGCAGGAGACAAAAACGCAGGAAAGTGGGCAGAGTTCTCCCATGCTTCCACTGGAGCTCAGAAAAGTACTCCCAGAATTAGGCTATTTTGGAAGCCTTTGCAGGGTGAGAAGTCAAATGGGTCTGAAAGGTCTAGAAATACACTTATTGTCACTTAATTATTACAATAATTATGGTGTCCTACTTTAAAAAAGACCTGAAGCTTGCCTGTGGATGGGGATGTTAGAAAGGTTGCTCTTGTGAGTGACTGTGAAGGGTACGGAGAGGCTTACTTGAAATCAGAAAGTTGTAACACTGGATGTGTATAGTTGTGGCTCCTAGTGAGCTGAGGTAGCCAGTAGATATTTGAGGTGTCTGCTTGTGTGCATTTTGTGAACAGTAACATAGTTCATTTCAACTGAGTGCAGTTTTCTGTATGCATATAGTGTTCTCAGGGATGAAATCTTGCATATGTGATATGGTTTGCCTTTGTGTCCCCACCCAAATCTCATTGTGTAGCTCCCATGATTCCCATGTGTGTTGTGGGAGTGGCCAAGTGGGAGATGGTTGAATCATGGGGGTGGGTATTTTTCTGTGCTGTTCTCACGGTGGTGAATGGGTCTCATGAGATCTCATGGTTTCACTAACGGGAGTTTCCCCACACAACTCTTTGTTTGCCTGCTGCCATCCATGTAAAACATGACTTGTTCCTCCTCGCCTTCTGCCATGATTGTGAGGCCTCCTCAGCCACGTGGAACTGTGAGTCCAATTAACCATCTTTCTTTTGTAAATTGCTCAGCCTTGGGTGTGCCTTTATCAGCAGCATGAAAATGGACTAATATAGTAAATTGTTACCAGTAGAGTAGGGTGCTACTGTAGATACCTGAAAATGTGGAAATAATTCTGGAACTTGGTAACAGGCAGGGGTTAGAACAGTTTGGAGGGCTCAGAAGAAGACAGGGAAATGTGAGAAGTTTGTAACTGCCTAGAAACTTCTTGAATGACTTTGCCCAAAATGCCAATCATAATATGGACAATAAAGTCCAGGCTGAGGTGGCCTCAGATGGAAATGAAGAACTTGTTGGGAACTGGACTCTTGTTATCTTTTAGCAGATACTCGTGGCATTTTGCCCTTGCCCTAGAGATTTGTGGAACTTTGAACTTGAGAGAGATGATTTACAGTACCTGGTGGAAGAAATTTCTAAGCAGCAAAGCATTTAAGAGGTGACTTGGGTGCTGTTAAAGGCATTCAGTTTTAAATGAAAACAGAGCATAAAAGTTTGGAAAATTTGCAGCCTGACAATGAGATAGAAGAGAAAATTCCATTTTCTGAGGAGAAATGTAGCCGGCTGCAGAAATTTGCATAAGTAATGAGGAGCTGTATGTTAATCACCAAGACAATAGGGAAAATGTCTCCAGGGCACGTCAGAGACCTTTGCAACAGACCCTCCCTTCACATACCTGGAGGTTTAGGAGGAATAAACGTCTTACATCTTTGGTCAGATCCATGGTCCCTCCACTGTGTGCAGTCTAGAGACTTGGTGCCCTGAATCCCAGCCACTCCAGTGATGAATAAAAGGGGCCAAGGTACAGCTTGGGCTATTGCTTCAGAGGGTGCAAGCCCTAAGTCTTGGTAGCTTCCACATGGTGTTGAGCCTTTGGGTGCACAAAAGTCAAGAACTGAGGTTTGGTAACCTCTGCCTAGATTTCAGAGGATGCATAGAAACACCTGGATGCCCAGGCAGAAGTTTGCTTCAGGGGCAGAGCCCTCATGGGAAACTTCTGGTAAGGCAATGAAGAAGGGAAATGTGGGATCAGACCCACAACACAAAGTCCCTCCTGGGCACCACCTAGTGGAGCTGTGAGAAGAGGGCTACCCCTCCAAACCCAGACCCCAGAATGGTAGATCCATCAACAGCTTGCACCATGCACCTGGAGAAGCCATCGACACTCAATGCCAGCCTGTGAAAGCAACTGGGAGGGAGGCTGTACCCTGTAATGCCACAGGGGCAGAGCTGCACAAGACCATGGGAACCCACCTCTTGCATTAGTGTGACCTAGATGTGAGACATGGAGTCAAAGGAGATCATCTGGAGCTCTAAGATTTGACTGCCCTCCTGGATTTTGGACTTGCATGGGGCCTGTGACCCTTTGTTTTGCCCAATTTCTCCCATTTGGAATGGCTGTATTTACCCAATGTCTGTACCTCCATTGTATCTAGGAAGTAACTAACTTGCTTTCGATTTTACGGGCTCATAGGTGGAAGGGAATTGCCTTATCTCAGATGAGACTTTGGACTGTGGACTTTTGAGTTAATGCTAAAATGAGTTAAGACTTTGGGGGACTGTTGGGAAAGCATGATTGGTTTTGAAATGTGAAAAACATGAGATTTGGGAGGAGCCAGGGGCAGAAAGATATGGCTTGGCTCTGTGTCCCCACCCAAATCTCATCTTGTAGCTCCCATGCTTCCCATGTGTTGTGGGAGGGACCTGGTGGGAGACGACTGAATCATTGGGGCTGGTCTTTTTCTGTGCTGTTCTTGTGGTGGTGAATGTGTCTCATGAGATCTGATAGTTTTGAAAATGGGAGTTCTCTTCACAAGCTCTTTTTTTGCCTGCTGCCATCCATGTAAGATGTGATTTGTTCCTCCTTGCCTTCCACCATGATTCTGAGACCTCCCCAGCCACGTGGAACTGTGAGTCCAATTAAACCTTTTTATTCTGTAAAGTTTCCAGTCTCGGGTATGTCTTTATCAGCAGTGTGAAAATGAACTACCATAATATGCAAACACACAATTCATATTATGCTCAAATTCTTCCACAGTATATCAATAGCACTGACACAAATTTATGTTTCCAAAATTAGACTTAGAGCAGGACTGGCTGTATATCTATTAGTGGTTATTCATGGGCAGGGCAAATCATGAACCACTGTACTTGTTCCAAGTCACCTAGCTAGTCATTGGCAAAGCCAGGGCTGCAACCTCACTCTCTAGAGGAAGACTTGAACTATCTTACCAAGGCCACTATGCTATCATATCTGTTTGTGAATACAAGGGATAAAGTGCAGAGCACGGAGGTGCTTTGAAAGGTATAACGTGATCAGTGTTATATGCAACTAGAAAGGCCATGAGTCTTTTATTTTGTTCTCTATAACAAGAAGACGATATTTCTGCTCTATTTCTTGTTGTAAATAACTTTGCCTAATCCTCTATAAACGCAAGTAAGCAGAAACAAATTAACTAAACCTTAGGTCAAGAGGGAAATGGGAAGAACTAGCAAAAGAAGATAATAACTCTCAGGGATGGAAGCACCTAGCCAATTGGAAGGGTGTGAAAAAGCGTGGAAATAGAAAATGGGAAAGACTGACAAAACGTGCCTTTTCTCTTACAAATTAACTTGTGTCTTTGTGATGACAGCATGTTTGGGCCAAGAGTTCTTGACTTTTGAAATATATCAAAATTCCTAAGGAGAAAGTTTTATAAAAATACAGATTTTTTTTTTTGTGTGTGTATACACACACACACACACACACACACACACACACACACACACATATATATATATACTCTTTTTCTTTCTTTGAGACAGAGTTTTGCTCTTGTTGCCCAGGCTGGAGTGCAATGGTGCGATCTTGGCTCACCACAATCTCCACCTCCCAGGTTCAAACGATTCTCCTGCCTCAGCCCCCCCAAATAGCTGGGATTATAGGCATAAGGCACCAGTCCTGGCTAATTTTGTATTTTTAGTAGAGACGGGGTTTCTCCACGTTGGTTAAGCTGGTCTCGAACTCCTGACCTCAGGTGATCTGCCCGCCTCAGCCTCCCAAAGTGCTGGGATTAAAGGTGTGAGCCACTGAGCCCTGCCCATAAATATATATATTTATTAAGAGAAGTTGGCTTATGTGATTATGGAGGCTGAGAAGTCTCATAATTTGTTGTCTCTCAGCTAGAAACCCAGAAAAGATGGTGATGAATACAGATTGGATCTGAGAACCAGGGGAGCAGATGGTGTGAATCCCAGCTGGAAAGCCAGAGAAGATGAGATGAGATGAGGCATCACAGCTCAGCAATGAGGAAAGACAAAATGAGTGAATTCCTCCTTTCTCCACCTTTGTTTCGTTTCAGGCCCTTAGAGGACTGGATAATTCCCAAGCATATTGGAGAGGACAATCCACTTGACTGAGTCCACTGATTCAAATGCTAATCTCATCTAGAAATATTCTCACAGACACACTTAGAAATAATGTTTCATTCAGGCACCCCTTGGCCAGTCAAGTTGCCACATAGAATTAACCATCATGTTCACTATTACTCATTTAGAATTTCTGATAGTAGGGCACAAGTATGTGTGTTTGTTAAGGCCAAGTGACTTTGTTGAGCCTTTTGAGAAAATAACTATGAGAAGGAGAGATTTGGTAACGTGAAGACCATCACTTAGCCCTAAGGAAGACTACCTCATTTATGGGCCTAAAATCAGATTTGATAAATGGTCTGTTGATCGTGATTGCAAATTTGTCTCCAGTGGTCAGAGTATATACCAATGACTTTTTTTAAAAATGCAGTCCCTTGTTAAATGTTAAATGCAACTCCTTCCATAATTCCCTTCCTATCCATGGAAAAGGAAGCTATGGCAGAAACTGCATTTAACATTTAACAAGAATATATTTATGTATATATCCAGAAGTATATCCATATACTACACTACAGACATATTTCTCTTTTCCCCACAGTCAACCATTTTAGTAGGCTCAGTGTGGGTACTTTTATTTGAATATGTTACTGAGTATGTGCATTTTTAATTTTCATAAATGATATTGTTATATTGCTTATTCTTCTTCCAAAGTTTTCCACTAGGTCCTGTATTATTAAAATTCAGTCAGATTGCTTTATATTCAGTTAATCCATTGCTTCTACTAATGATTTCAATGGTGTGTGTATATATATGGTAAATTGCAGTAGTTGATCCACATCTGTATCTCTTCCTGTATTTATGCTCTTTGCTAAGTAAATTTTCAGGGCCCTCCCACGTGGACAGAGTGACCTGCCCCATCCCTTGAGACTAGTCTTGGCCATGTGATTTGCTTTGTGATAATTGCTGACTTGATATAAGCAGAAGCTTAAAAAAAGCATGTGTGTGTTTCCACTAGTTCTTGTACCTCTGTCATTATAATGAAAAGACATACTCAGCTTAACCTACTAGTCCCAGGAAGAGGATGAGCAATAATGTGGAACAGAGCCAACCTAGACATGTATAAGTAGGTCAGCTGGACTGTGAATGTATAAGCAAGTTCGGCCCAGATCAGTGGAATCCCACAGGAGCATGAGAAATAAATGCATGCTACTGAGATTTTGTGGTTGTATGCAACATTATTGTGGCAATAACCAACCAGTAGAGTGTAGTATGAGAATTTGCATTCTCTTGCTGATTTTGAATTCAGGATGTCAATTATGGGAAAGCTAATCATTTGACTCAAAAATAAAACAGCTTATAATATTTATATTTATTTAAAATATAATTTATATTTGTGTGTGTGTATATATACACATATATACACACACACACACATATATATACACACACACACACACATATATATATATATCTCCTGTGGAATAGGACAAGTTTCGTACATGTGTGTATGTGTGTATATAACATATACACACACATACTATATATATATACACACACACGCATATATATATACACAAACATATACATATATATAAAACTTGCCATATTACACAGAGTATTTCCTTTCTTATTATCTCATTTTATCATCTCAAGTCAAAGAAGCAAGCAAAGTAGCCTTTAAAGTCCCTTCTTCTTTCTCCAATGATTACTAACTCATGCTTTTATTTCTTCAATTATTTTATCCTGGCCCTTCAAGATACATTAATTTCTTTAATATCATAACCTAATTCCACCAGCCTTAACAAGAATATTCAAAATAGCTTTACGTCAGTGCACTGGCACAGAGAGTCAACTATTTACTTACCATGGGGGAAAATCTTACAAATGTGCATATTTTAGGTCCATCTTGTGGTCGTACTTCTCTACCAGCCAAATCAAAATCTAGATACAGAGGGGGGAAAAAAAAGAATGCTGAAATGGCTAACTCTCATTGCTTCATTATGTGTATTTCAGCATAGTAATCCCTTGTACTGACATAAAAATGGCTACTATGTACACATGAATTGCAGAGAATTCTTGGTAGTTTAATGCTATAAATATGGATGTGAGAAAATTACTTTGATGAAAAATTCACAGTGTAAAACTTGGAGGGATGATCCAGCTGGAGAAATGAAAGGGGAGAAAATCCCAATTTTCCAGAACTGAACATTAGAAGGAAAGTTCTGTTGGAAGCTCCATGGGTCTCAGTGAAAAATGACCAAGAGAATTAACAATGGTCCTGCCCTTTTTCTTGGGCCCTGCATGGGAGACAGCTGTGACATCCAAGGGAATGCAACTATATCAAATACGACAGAAGAAGAACTATCAGCTACTGACCAGGAGGCTGCCTCTGCATCTGCTGCCCTACCAAAGAGGCTCTTGTGGTGGCACAACTTGCACAGCCACAGTTTGAAGGAGATTTTCTTGAGAAGCAACACAAAACAGAGAACAGTACTGGAAGGAAAGTTAAAAGACTAGGTTCCTAGTTTTGATTCATTCACAAACTCCTATGTGATGATTCTGGACAAGTTATTCAACTTTCCTCTGCATCTTTCACCTTTGTCTGTAAAATTAGAACAGGAAAGACAATGAGTTTTTCCTAGGATGCTGATAACTTGTGCTTCAGTAAAGAGAGAGGAAGAGGTGGTGTGGCACCTTGCTTTTGCTATGCCTATAGACCTGATTGTTCAGATGCATTCCTGGTTCTGTGACTGACCATCCTCTCTGAAAAGCAGCCTCTTCGTTGTTTTTAATATTACAGATACTCAAGCAAACTGGAAAGGCCAACATTTCTCCCCACAATCCCTAAAAAAGATCAAAGAAAGGTAAGAATAATGTACAGGAAGCCTTTTCCTGTGCTGATGGATCACACAAGGAGAAGAAAGTCAAAATAATCCATCTCCATCCGCCTTCTGTAGCTTCCCCGGCCCTCATAATATTTGTTTAAAAATCACGCTGACCTGCCATGAAGAGCTGCTTTAGCAATCAGGGACTACCGTCCACCTGAGCTCCCTCCCTGGAGGAAAGGCCAAAACACTGGATTTGCTCCTCCACATTTCCACCTAGAGCAGATTGTATGTGTTTTAAAAGTGATGAGTTGTGATGGGGCCACTGCTTTGATACGGTCCTTGGTGGCCCTTGTGTCAAACAGTAGCCTTGAACACCACTCCAGGGAGAAGAAGGAGCAGAGAGGTCAATGCATGGTAATGTGGAGGATAATGTGTCAGCTCATAAGTCTTCAGAATCTCCTGCCATGAAAAACAGCTGCAGCTTGCAAATGTCTGAAGCCTGAGCTTTTTCTGTCCTCTTGTTTTGTCCTTACATGAAAAACTGTAACTAGATCCACTTCTGCTCAGCCTCAAAGGCAACCCATTTAACAAGTGGGCCCTGGGCCTGCCCGGTCTTTAAGAAGAAATGCAATGTATCAACACCCTGCAGCATTTCATCTTACAGCAGCTTGGGCTGGCCTCTTTTCAGCCTGGCTTGCTCTGCCTCTGGCATTGGGTGTGCTGCCCTGTCCCCATTAGCGTGTCATTAGTGCCATTAATGAAAATCCGGTTTTACACACTGAAAAGTGATCTGAAGCAGTTTTGAGGAAATGCTATAAAGCCTGCCCCTGCTGTTAGCAGGAGCCTCTGGCACACCTGCAGTTTTGACAGGGCTCTTAAAAGGTTCTCTCTCCTTGAATGGAAGGAGGTGCAGCAAGTATAAATAGTATAATAAATAGTACAATTAGCTTCATTCTGGGGCTGTGAAAGCCCTTCTCTGCATCAATATAAAGCGCATGCATTCTATGATGGAAAAGTGACATGTTAACGTTTTGTAGTTTGAGGAAACTGGTCATTAACCTGAAGAACACAAATGGTATGCCAAGTCCAACAGTCTTAAATAATCCTCTGTGGCATTTTCCTCAAGCACAAGTAAAGAAATAAAAGATGTTAATTTAAAATAATTATCTGCTTAGTGATAAACTCAAACATAAATTAAGGAATCTCTTTTATACTATGCAATATCATGGAAAGAAGGCAGAGCCAATATTTTTTAATCCAAAGACTCAATATGGAATTGTTCAGTGAAGTTAGAAAAGCAAAAAGAAAAAAAAATATGTTATTATTTCAGTAAGAAAGATACTCTTATACTGAAATGCAGAAAGAAGGCAAGGAACAGCCCCTGAACATTTGTACCTGAGAACAAAGTGAAGCTGTGAAATTTCTTTGAACACCATCTCAGCAAAGGTACATAGGACTGTGGCCATGACAGTGAGGAAGAAAGTGGGTCCTGTGAGTGAGACATTGATAAAACACAACTGAACTGTCTGGGACAGCGTTGTTCTAGTTCCATACTGGTGCCCTGGGGGATTATGAGTCAGCTCAGTGTCTGAGATGGAAAACCAAGGAGCAAAAACGACAAATTGCTGAGATCACAAAGTGACAAAGGAAGCCAGGATGCAAGAAAGATTCAAGGATTACGGCTGCTGCCAAACTTTGCAGTTCTTTCATCCTAATTTGAAGCCTTAGTATTTTCCTTAGTGTGATTCAAGGTGTCTGTTCCCGTGCCTGCCTCTCTATCAAGTCGCTAGTCATGGCTTCTTTTTTAAATTTAATGTTTAAATTTCATTTATTATGTTAAAAAGTTATACAGGTAATCATAACTTATGTGTTGTTTGATATCTAGAAATTTAAATAGGAACATTTACTATCTTTTTGAGTTTTGATTTGACAAGCAGATTTTGGGCTTTGTTTTTCTCTTGTGTAATTCATCCACAATGTGAATATCAGTCTATAGGTAGCTTGTGGTGTCCAGATAGGGCATCCTTGCTTGAACAGAGTGTAAACCATGTAAATAAAAATAATAAATCAAAGATAGGCGGTGAATAATTTTTTTCTTACTCAAACATAAAATTGTATGAAAAACAAATTTTTCCCCCCAAAAATAGTGTGGTTGCTTTTTATGTATATTTAGTTTCTATGAATTTCAATAATACAAAATAATTTAAAAGTCTTTATTTATTAATTTTATTTTTTAGTTTATTTAAAATTATTTGTTTCATTTAGTTACTTATTTTTAAATTGGGAAATAAAATTATATATATTTACTTGTGCAATATGATGTTTTGATATGTGCGTCCACTGTGAAATGGCTCAATCAAGCTAATTACCATAGGCCTTACTTCACAAACTTGTCATTTTTGTGGTGAGAACACCTAAAATCTACTCTCTTAACAATTAGGAATAATCTTAGGAATAACTTCAAGAGATCTATTGTACAACATAATGACTATAGTTAATAGCAATATACTTTATTCTTGAAAATTGATAAAAGAGTAGTCCTGGGTTCTTGAGCAAATTATTTAATCTTTCTAAATTTCTGTTGCTTCATCCATGATGGGAATAATAAACTCTACCCATCTCACGGAATTTCCATGATGATTAAGTGATACATCATACCACAACAACCAGTCAGATGTGGCTTTTTTTTTTTTTTTTTTGCCATAGTAATATTAAGTACAGAACTTTCTAATGACAGGTATGCCAGATTGCTGGGAAAATGGCAAAAGATTTGATACCTTGAATGTGTATAAATATAAGAAAAAACTATTAGGATGTGTTAAACACTGTATTGTGGTATTTAGGAATCCTAGTTTTATAATCAGATGGGTGGGAGTTTGAATAAAATTTTGAGC